CTTTCCCTCCCCCTCTCGGTTGAGCGTCCTTTCCCCTCCCCCCTCACGTCCCAAAAAGCGCGGTTTTTTCCAGTTTTAAAGAAAACCGTACACGATACACGAAAAGTGTGTAGGCATGAAATGATTATTTATAAATTTGGTATCAAACTCTTATACTTATTAAACAATAAAATTTTCAAAATACCATAGCAACGTGAAATGAAAGTAACTAATCATTGCCAGAAAAGTACTCAATTAATTTTTAATTTATTTTAGCTATAATAATTGAACTAACCTCGCTCAGAAGCTTTCAAATACAGGCTTCTCGCAGTTCTCACCGGGCGGCTAGGTTTTACGCGCCGTTCGAGCGCCCAGCCAAGTATTGAATTATTTTAATTTTACATTATCTCTTAAACTATGCGTGCAAATAACATGGTATAAATAACAAAGTTTGTCCTCATAAAATTGTCTTAATGATGAACTTTCGTTCGTAAGGATAAATAGGCCATGCCTAATAATAACGCTTATAAATCACTTTTTATTTTCAATATTTTTTTTGTCACAAAATACCTAATTATGGCTTATGTTACGAAATAGACATATGGTATCGCGAATTTTTTTTAGATGGACTAAAGATCTATATTTTTCTAGAACATTGTATTTACGTATCCCTAACCATAACACCAGCGTACGCGGATAAATTATTTCGGGAGCGCTTTTTCTTCTGACTTGCCTAACAAATATCCATATTTAAGGTTAGCGGAGTGATATAGCTTAATGCTAGATCATCATTACAGCCCTTCACAAGTCCACTGCTGAACATAGGCCTCCCCCAAGGAATGCCACAAAGCACGGGCCTGAGCCACCTGCATCCATCGACTTCCTGCATATCTTACCAGGTCGTCACTCCATCTAGTAGGGGGACGCCCTACACTTCGCCTGCTGGTACGAGGCTGCCACTCGAGAACCTTTCTTCCCCATCGGTTGTCGGTTCTTCGAGCTATATGGCCGGCCCATTGCCACTTCAGCTTACTAATCCGTTGGGCTATGTCGGTCACTCTGGTTCTACTGCGGATATCTTCATTTCTGAGTTTATCACGCAGAGAAACTCCGAGCATAGCCCTCTCCATAGCTCGCTGAGCGACCTTGAGCTTCCTCATCCGGCCAGCAGTGAAGGACCACGTCTCAGTTCCGTATGTCATCACTGGCAACACGCACTGGGTGTACAGTCTCGTTTTCAAGTTTTGAGGTATACCTGACGAGAAGATGTGCCGTAATTTCCCAAACGCTGCCCAACCGAGTTGAATCCGTCGATTGACCCCTCGGTCGAAGTTGGACTTACCTAGTCGGACTATTTATACCAGGTAAACATACTCGTCAACAACTTCGAGCTTAGTGTTCCCAACAACTACCGGCATAGGTGTGACATGGACATTAAACATGATCTTTGTTTTGTCCATGTTCATCTTAAGACCTATCCGTTGGGAAACACTATTGAGGTCATTGAGCATAGTGCTTAGGTCCTCCAGCGATTCTGCCATAAAGACTATATCGTCGGCAAATCGAAGGTGAGTGATGTACTCGCCATTGATGTTGATACCGTATCCTTTCCAGTCCAGAAGCTTGAATACATCTTCCAATGCAGCGGTAAAGAGTTTCGGGGATATGACGTCACCCTGTCTTACACCTCTCTGCAATTGGATAGGTTTCGTACTCTGGTTCTGTACTCGGATAGCCATCGTAACCCTACTGTACAAGCACTTCAACACTTCGATATACCGACAGTCAACTTGGCATCGCTGAAGGGACTGCAGCACCGCCCAAATTTCGACGGAATCAAAGGCTTTCTCATAGTCCACATACGCGAGACATAGTGGCAAATTGTACTCCTCGGACTTCTGTACAATTTGCCGAAGGGTATGTATGTGGTCTATGGTGCTAAAGCCTTTTCGGAAACCGGCTTGTTCGGGAGGCTGGAAGTCGTCAAGTCTGCGCGCGAGACGATTCGTAATGACTCTCGAAAACAGCACGTAGACGCGGCTCAGAAGGGAAATCGGTCTGTAGTTCTTCAAGAGAGCGTTGTCGCCTTTCTTGAAGAAAAAGACCACCGCACTTCTGCTCCACGCCTCCGGTGTAATGCCACCATGGAGGACGGAATTAAAGAATTTCTGAAGGACTTCAAGTACCGGTTTTCCACCCGCTTTCAGAAACTCCGCTGTAATTCCATCCTCGCCTGGGGCCTTGCCGTTCTTAAGGTGCTGGAGAGCCATTCTAATCTCGCTCAGACTGACATCCGGGATATCATCGGAATAATGTCGGATAAGACTCGCTCTAGGATCGTTACTCACACTTGCGTGCGGCTCCAACAATGACGTGTACAGCTGCCCATAGAACCTCTCAATCTCACTCAAAATCTCAGATGCCCCGGAAACGATGCTGCCACATTCGGTCTTCAGCTTGGACAGTTGGCTCTTTCTGGCAGACAGATCTCTGGCAAAGACTTTGGAGCCTTGGTTCCGCTCGATCGCTTCTTCAATACGAGCTGTATTGAAGTTGCGTAAGTCCCGCCGCATGCATTTGGAGATCTGTCTATTCAGTTGCCTGTATGCTGTCAAATCTGTTGATGAATGTAGCTTAATCTCCCGTCTAACAGCCATGAGATTAAGAGTGTGATCGGAGAGTTTTTGTGTTCTTCTGCGGCGGGTCTTGCAGAACTTAGATCCGACCGCATGGACAGTTTCCACGAGCTTGTCATTCAAATCGTCCACTTCATTGCAGTCTTCTAGGCACTGAAAACGATTTTGTAACTCGAACTGAAAGGTTTCGGGACTTTGGATTAGAGCACGAGGGGGACGGAGCGTTGACTTCATTAGACGAGACCTCTCCAACTTAACGTTTAGGTTCAGTGTGCCTCTAACCATTCGATGATCACTGCCGGTTTTCACCCTCGCGATCACTGAGACATCACTGAACAGTTGTCGTCTGGTCGTCATAATGAAGTCAATCTCATTTGACTCAACTGTCGGGGCTCGACCAGGTCCTCTTCCTGTGGGGCCGCTTCTGGAAGAAAGAGTTCATCATAAAGAATCCCTCTTTCTCCATGAAGTCGGCCAGCTGCTGGCCCCTTGGGTTTCGTTGCCCTATTCCAAATTTTCCCACTTTCAGCTCACCGTTCTCTCTTGTAATGCTAGATAAGCTATACTATTTCACATAAATCTGGCTATAATATACAAAAACAATTTTTCAACTCGGACTGGTAATTCCAGAGATTAGCGCGTTTAAACAAACAAAAAAACAAACAAACTCTTCCACTTTATTATATAAAAAATGTCTTTTTGGTTTTTTAAAAAAAAAATATTTATTAGTATAGATAATAATAATAATATCCTCCAGACGGGATTTCGGTCACGGCGGCCAGCCTCAACGGAGACTAGCCATCGGCGCAGGACAGGATTATAGTGCCCAAGTGTATGCGCAAGCACAGGTGCACTCTCTATTCCTTCACTCTCAAAGTCTGGTGGGGCAGTAACCCGACACGACCGGAGAGAGATCAGGCGCAGGACCAACGGCTTTAGGTGCTTTCCGAGGGATCTTATTATTTAATAAAATGTTAAAGCCCCGACTTTAGAAGCTATTATATGTAAATTATTTCACTCATTATAGTTCTTGAAGTCGGCTTTTATATTGTATCAGAAATTTATTATTTTTTATCCTTCTGAGTGGAATGAGGAGTATCACAAGCTCAAGGTAACAACTAGAAGGTCGTGTAAGTAATTACATTAAACCAGTGATTCCCAATCGTGGTACGCGGACCACCAGTGGTCCGCAAGAGCTTAAATATGGTCCGCGAAAGATTTAAATATTTTAGCTACCTATTCGTTTTAAATAACACATTTATTAAGTGGCGAAGCTTGCGAAGTCATTAATTGATTTCACGATGTCTGTCCGTCTGTCCGTTTGTCCGTTTGTCCGTCTGTCCGTCTGTCCGTCTGTCCGTTTATCCGTCTGTCCGTCTGTCCGTCTGTCCCACGATTATCTCGAGAACGGTTTTGAATTTTCAAATTCTGTTTTCAGCAATCGATTACTGATCACCCAGGCATCTGAACCTCCTATTTTGAAACTGATTGCTCAACGGCAACCGTTAGAAACCGCTACAAAGCTGATTGCTTCGCCACTTTGCTATGCTGTTAGCTTGCTAGGTTTATTATTTTCTCGTCACGCGGGCAGTGCAACACCATGCGTCACGTTAGCAAGTACCTACTAGCTTTTACAATAAATACACAAATAATGCCGTTAATGGATGCTTCTTTTCAGTTTATTATATAATTATGTAGAAAGTTGTGATTATAATTTTTTGTTAGATTAACACAGTTTTGCTTTCACCTTGTGGTCCCTGCTAACTACAAAAAAAATCAAAGAGATCCCTGGTCAAAAAAGGTTGGGAAACCCTACATTAAACACTTCATTCTCTTTTTCCACCCTTACGACTTTAACTTTTTCTTCAAATTTACATGGAACCAATCCTGAAGTACGCGTATAACCTATTTAATGAAAAAACGGCTTGACGGCCTTGTTTGACAGCTCCGTGGCGCAGTGGCTTAGCAATCAGTTGTTGCGCTGGGGGCCGCGGGTTCGAATCCCGCACGGAACAAGTATTTGTATGGCCTACAAATAATTGTTCCGGGTCTGGATGTTTATCCTTGTGCAATTTATGTTTGTAAACTGCCTCCACGACACAGGAGAAAATCCTAGTGTGGGTGGTGGTAACGTTTTTTTAAAAAAAAAGGAAAAAAACATTAATTGGCAAAGATATCACCTAAGAAACAAAAAAAAACATCGTCGTCAACATCATATATAAAATAATATACCGTCGAATTGAGAATCTTCTCATTTTTTTAAAGTCAGCAACAAACAGTTTTAATATGATGACTTTAAATTTTTGTTTTTTCCGTCTTCGAGTATTTACTTTAGTACATTATGTTAGAGTTTATTTTAATTATTATTTATTTTGTTTACATCAGCTGTTCATCAACAATGAATGGGTAGACGCTGTGAGCAAAAAAACATTCCCCACTATCAACCCCCAGGATGAGTCAGTCATCGCACAAGTTGCTGAGGGAGATAAGGTATAGAGTTGTTGAATTAATACTTCAGATAATATTAATTATACGTTGTAACTATAAACCTTTTTGCCATTAAAAAAAAATATTTGATATTGAGAATATATTAATTGTTTCTATTCCACTCATATAATATAGGTACTAATTAACGTTATTCAATTAAATAAAAAAAGAGAAATCATATTAATATTTAGCTTATTATTTTTAAAATTAACTTTTTTTTTAAACTTACTAATGTATAATAAAATCAAATTGAAAAACTCTATTTAATAAATATTTTTAACCTACTACAGGCCGATGTGGATTTGGCAGTTGAAGCAGCTAACAAGGCATTCCATCGTTATTCAGAATGGCGTACCATTGACGCCTCACAAAGGGGGCGCTTGCTTTTAAAATTGGCGGACGTAATCGTTAGAGATTACAAATATTTAGCAGAATTAGAAACCTTAGACTGCGGGAAACCGGTAAAGCAAGCGGAGGGAGAAGTTTTATGGTCCGCTAACATTATTAGATACTACGCCGGGAAAGCTGACAAAATTTTAGGAAACACTATCCCTGCTGGTTAGTACCTAACTAAAATTACCAGCAATAACATTATTTCCTTGAACAATTTTCATGACAGTTTACAAAATAACATTACTGTACAACGTTTGAGTCTTATGTGAATTGCAAGATTAAATAAAGACATTTATTATTATTATTCACGGCACGGTAGCGGTTGTAGCTAAATGGGTTATGTGGGTATGGGTATATGGCTAACGATTGTTCTGAGTCTGGATTTTTATCCATGTGCAATTTATAAACGTAAAAGAAATCCAGCTATAAACCATGGCATTTTCTTTCTACTATCTCATCATGCTGTCCTAAGCCTTTTTTTTTGTTTTTTTTTTTATAGGATAAGGGTGACAAACGAGCACACAGTCCACCTGATGGTAAGTGGTTGCTGTGGCCCATAGACATCTACATTTATCCTCGATTACGAATCAAAATGCAGTTGCGTTGTCATCCGTGAGGACTAAGATGGAATGCCTCGTTTCCAGTAAAAAGGGTCTCCGGTTCTCTGCACTCACCATACGAAACACAGCAGCATTAAGCTGCTAATTTACGCTGGTATTCTGTGAGAGCGTGGTCCTTCCCCGGTCGAGCCGACCTATTAGTGTTACAACTATACCAGAAATATAACTGCAGCATGGATCTACCACGTATAAGGTACTAGTAATTTAGGTACTAGCTTTAAATTTTATGCAATCTTACACACTTACACACCCCTTCAGTAATTTTACTAAATTGAACCCAAGATGCAAGCCGCAATGCTGAAACGACACAGCATTCATATATATTTGCACTGATTACACTAACATGCTGATTTTCGTCTCGTCATCTCGAGGGTAATAGTTAAAAATTAGTGTTTGCTCTCTGAGCAATATTAATCGCTGAGCTAGGACCCAATAGTTATACTGCAACAGACCATGTACATGTAGATCTTAAGATTATGTAACTTTTGTAATACGTTACTTTGTACCTAGTTTAGTCACTGAATTTATGTGTGCGATGGAAGAAACAAATAAATGCTTTATCTATCTATCTATCTAAAACACCTATAGATACATCAGGAAAATAGCATAGGGTCCCCCACACCATGATTGTCCACTGTTATAACATTTAAACAAAATTAAACGCACTAGAATCATCGCCAAATGATTATATTCAATGTGTATAAATATTAATTTTCAAGCTGCTTTAGATAATTATTAATAAATTTAATTCCGATATATTCTAGATGGCGAGGTTCTTTCTTTCACCATGAAGGAGCCCGTAGGTGTATGCGGTCAAATATTACCATGGAATTACCCCATCCCCATGTTTGTGTGGAAAATTGCACCAGCTCTAGCTGCTGGTAAGTATACACATCGAGATTTTGATATAGAAAAGGTCAGTTTGTTATCATAGTATTCTCCTGGCAATTTCGACGCATAACTTACAGCCGTGGTCAAATGCGCGGGTTATTATACTTTTTTTTTAATTCTTAAGGTTACAAGCTTTATTTCCAGGAATATATTTGTGTAATTATATTATAATATGTTAATAGCCAAGAAGACTAAATCATTGCCATGCATAATAGTATCAGACCGGTGGTTTTGATAGTACATTTGCCAGTCTACTAAATAAAAGTCACATTTATTACAAATCCTTTTAACTTCCGCTTTAATAGGTCACTTTTCATGATCAAACGAGTGCTTGCAGATTGGTAAAGATGAAAATATTAAAACATACTAAAACATCATTACTCAATGTTTTTCTTCGACAGTCACTTTGACTGTGACATCTTTTTTGTCTTTTACTGACAAACGAACATACAATCCATCTGATGGTAAATGGCTTCTATAGTCCATGGACACCTGCAGCCAACGTTAAACAAAGAAGGCACAGATACGCTGTAACCACTAAAGACTAAGTTAAAATACCCTTCATGACGGAACACATCAGTGCAAGCACTGCTATTTGGCGGCAAAAATAAGTAAGGAAATGGTAACTACACAGACTGAGGCCTAGGCAGGAAAAGATTTCAAGAATTCCCTATACATTCTACTTATTTATTGTCAGGTTGCACGGTAGTTGTAAAACCAGCAGAACAGACACCTCTCACTGCGCTAGCCATGGCTGCCTTAATTAAGGAAGTCGGTTTCCCACCTGGTGTTGTAAACGTGATTCCTGGTTATGGACCGACTGCCGGCGCTGCTCTGACTCATCATGCTCGCGTAGACAAAATCGCTTTTACTGGTTCCACAGAGGTGAGAATTTCTATCCATTTTATAGTTCCAACGCATCACAATTTGAAATTTAAAGGGGTTAATATATAGAAACAAATTATTATTAATGTGTTTTTATAGGATAGGGTGACGAACGGGCACACAGTCCACCTGATGGTAAGTGGTTGCTGTGACCCATAGACATCTACATTTATCCTCAATAAAGAATCAAAATGTAGATGCGTCGTCACCCGTGAGGACTAAGATAGAATTCCTCTAATCCAATAAAATGGGTCTTCGGTTCTCTACACTCACCATACTAAACAGAGCAGTGTTAAGTTGCTATTTTACGCTGGTATTATGTGAGAGCGTGGTCCTTCCCTGGTCGAGCCGACCCATTCGTGTTACAACTATACCACTAACATAGCTGCAGCATGACTCTACCACGTATAGCTATGTTAGGTCACAAAATACCCTTGTACAAAGGACAAAACTGGTAATATTAAATATTTTATTATGGCGTCTGCACAACACACACAATGTACACATGGGCCATATTTAAAATTATTTGTATAAGACTGCAAAGTATTGGCAATATTTGCTATATATCAGCTGTGTAATTATTTTGACACACATTCCCGTTGAAAACAGCTCATTTGCATAGTCTGTCACAGAATGATGTCATAAAACACAACATGCTTTACAGACAATCCTGTATTTGTTAAATAGCCCGTATATATTTTGCTTTTGCAACTGAATTCGCCATAATGAGGTGCTCAACAAAAAATCTCATTTGGTAGAAATAATTGAAGAATGAAGCGTTTTATATGATTACATGAAGAAACCTATGTGCACATAAGTTCGTAAATAAAAATAAAACATATACCTATAAAAATATACAATAATATGCGTTTTGAGTATATGAGTGATGCCAATATTTCATATCCAAAGTTTCCAGATATTATGTGCAAAAGTATTGTTTAAATAACAACAATAAATAAGTTTGACGATATTATTCGTTTATTAACGTTATTTTACTTTTTGTTCTAACTGAGAAATGAAGAGTATGTAAAAGATAATATTAAGCATTCATTAGTTTTGTATAACTAAAATTAAAAAGAAAGAGTTCTTTTTTTGTTTAAGTTCATTCCAGTCTTTCAAAAATCTTATATTGCAATTATGCAATTTCATTGTTGTTTGCAAGGGAGATAGATTCCAGCTATTAAATTACTAGAAATTTTACTCCCTATTACCCTAGCTTATTGCGTAAATATGTACTAAAAGCCAGTAATTTCATTGTCTCCAAAAGATAGCGCTGTAATGTCGCACATATTATTTACAGATTAAAAACGTTTATCACAAATCCTCGCAAAAGAATACCGATTCCTACCAAGGAAATTAAAAAACATCTTAATTTCAATAGACAAGATACTACCATCTACTTGGGATCCCATAAGTAATAAAATAAATTAAAATCCAAACCCAAGCATACTACTGCAAGACTAAGATACTGTAAGCTCGTTCTGCGTAGATCGGACGAAAAATTAATATTCAAAAACTGAAGGTAGCCGGGCTAACTATGACATTGGGACGTCAAATACCTCAATGCCCCCGTGGACATGGGCGCTGTAAAGCATCCGAAACGTCGGGAAATAAAAAGTTAAAATTAAACGAGATAAAATCCGTAATTTAGTATCATTTAAAATTCCATTAGAACTTTAGTTTCGAATTAATAACATCAATTAAATTTACTTCAATATCTTGAAACTCGCATATTATTAATATTCAAGGCTGATATTCTTATCTTATTATAGCCGCATCACACACTTATTCGAATGGGTTATAAGAAGTGATAAGCCTTAACTTTTTAGTGTTCTTGGATGCTATCATTGTAAAATTATATTTGTGTTGTTCAACATACATATAATTAATACATACAACTTACAAACAAGATAACGAATACGAACAAGATTATTTGACTTTCACAATATTTAAGTGTTCGTTCACATACTTACATACTATCATCATCATCATCATCTCACTACAACCCACCACAAGTCCACAGCTGAACATAGTCCTAATCCAAAAATGCCACAACGGACGGTCCTAACCCACCTGCACCCATCGACTTCCTGCATTATCACTCCATCTAGTGTTTTATAAAATCGTCATACAATCTATTTAGACCTACGTACGCTCTACACTTCACTTACCGGTACGAGGCTACCGTCAAGTGACAGCCGTTGACTGTCTCGTTTTGTGATTTTAAACGCGACTGCCGATCATTCACATTCCCAGGTCGGGGCAAAAAAATAGTTATTGAATTCTTCTGTCAAGCGATTCTCACAAGCATCCCGAATTCAGGAAGTTGCGGTGTTTCACCCCACGGTTCGGAAAGCACTTAAAGCCGTTAATCTTGCGCCTGGTCTCTCTCAGTTTGTATCGATTTGTCGTCCCCACTCTGAGAGTGAAGGAATAGAGTGCACCTGTGCTTGCACACTTGGGCACTTTAATCCTAACCTACGCAAATGGTTAGTATCCGTTGAGACTGGCCGCCGTCACCGAAATTGGGTCTGAACGACATTATTATGGTTGTTACTTATATATTTTATATTTTAGGATTATAAATAAGGATTATAAATAATACTTATTGAAAGTCACTCTTTCGTTTAATTTACCACTGGTTCGGAAAAAAAACTTCTATCCTGGGAAGAACCAACAAGAAACCCAGCGGAACTATATTTAAAAAAAATAACAGTTTACAATCATGTATGTTACACAATCAACAACACAGAACTAAAAAAAAAACAGCTTGGTAGCGATAACCTCATTCCCAGGAGTTATTACCGTTCATAAATTATTTAATATTATAATAACACTTTTTATACAAACTTTGTTTAATAAACTTTTTGAACTGCTGAACATAGACTCTCCCAAGGAATGTCACAAAGCACGGTCCTGAGCCACCTGCATTCATCGACTTCCTACATGTCTTACCAGGTCGTTACTCCATCTAGTGGGGGGACGCCCTACACTTCGTCCCCCGGTACGAGGCCGCCACTCGAGAACCTTTTTTCCCCATCGGTTGTCGGTTCTTCGAGCTATATGGCCGGCCCATTGCCACTTCAGCGTACTAATTCTTTGGGTTATGTCGGTAGCTCTGGTTCTACTGCGGATATCCTCACTTTTGAGTTTATCGCTCAGAGAAACTCCGAGCATAGCCCTCTCCATAGCTCGCTGAACGACCTTGAGCTTCCTCATCCGGCCAGCAGTGAAGGACCACATCACAGTTCCACAAGTCCTCACTGGGAACACGCTCTGGTTCTGTCTCGTTTTCAAGGTTAGTGGTATACCTAACGAGAAGACGTACCATAATTTTCACCCAGCCGAGTTGAATCTGTCGATTGACTTCTCGGTCGAAGTTGGAATTACCTAATCGGACTATTTGTCCCAGGTAAACATACTCGTCAACAACTGCGAGCTTAGTGCTCCCAACAACTACCGGCAAGGTGCGACATGGACGTTATACATGATCTTTGTTTTAACCATGTTCATCTTAAGAATTATCCGTTGGGAGGTACTATTGAGGTAATTGAGCATTGTGCTTAGGTCCTGCAGCGATTCTGCCATAAGGACTATATCGTCGGCAAATCTAAAGTGAGTGATGTACTCGCCGTTGATGTTAATACCATATCGTTCATATCCAGTCCAGCTTGAAAACGTCTTCCAATGCAGCGGTGAAGAGTTTCGGGGATATATACCTTCACCCTGTCTTACACCTCTCTGCATTTGGATAGGTTTCCGACTCTGATTCTGTACTCGGATAGCCATCGTAGCCCTACTGTACAAACACTTCAGCACTTCAATATACCGACAGTCAACTTGGCACCGCTGACGGAACTGTACCACCGCCCAAATTTCGACGGAATCAAAGGCTTCCTCATAGTCCAAATAAGCCAGACATAGTGGCAAATTGTACTCTCGGACTTCTATACAATTACCGAAAGGTATGTATGTGGCCTATGGTGCTAAAGCCTTTTCGGAAACTGACTTGTTCGGGACGTAGAGTCTGCATGCGGGACGATTCGTAATGACTCGAAAACAGCACACAGACGCGGCTCAGAAGGGAAATCGGTATACAGTTCTTCAAGAGAGCGTTGTCGCCTTTCTTGAAGAACAAGACCACCACACTTCTGCTCCACGCCTCCGGTGTAGTGCCACCATGGAGGACGGAATTAAAGAGCTTCTGAAGGACTTCAAGTACCAGTTTTCCACCCGCTTTCAGAAGCTCTCCTGTAATTCCATCCTCGCCTGGGGCCTTGCCATTTTTAAGGGCCTGGAGAGCTCTTCACAGATGAAATCTCGCTCAAATTGACGTCCGGAATATGATCGGAATAGTGTCGGATAAGACTTGCTCTTGGATCGTTACTCACACTAACGTGTGGCTCCAAAGATGATGTGTACAGCAGCCCATAGAAACTTTCAATCTCGCTCAAAATCTAATGTGTCCCGGAAACGACGCTGCCAAATCTACTGAAGACTACAGCTTTATTTCCCGTCTAACAGCCATGAGATTAAGCATGTGATCGAAGAGTTTTTGTGTTCTTCTGCGATGGGTCTTAAAAACTTAACTCCAACCGCATGGACAGTTTCCACGAGCTTGTCATTCATATCATCTACTGGTTTGTAGCTCGAGCTGAAAGGTTTCGGGATTTTGGATTAGAGCACGAGGGGGACGGAGCGTTGACTTCATTAGACGTGACCTCTCCAACTTAACGTTAAGGTCCATTGTGCCTCTCACTATTCTGTGATTGCTGCCCGTTTTCACCCTCGCGATCACTGAGACATCACTGAACAGTTGTCGTCTGGTCGTCATAATGAAGTCAAGCTAATTTTTTGTCGAACCGTCGGGGCTCGACCAGGTCCATTTCTTGTAGGGCCATAAAGAATACCTCTTTCTCCATGAAGTCGGTTAGCTGCTGGCCCATTGGGGTCCGTTGCCCTATTCCAAATTTCCCTACCTTCAGCTCGCCGTTCTCTCTTGTGCCTAGTTTTGCGTTGTAGTCTCCCATTAACACCGTATAGGGGGTGTTGGAGGAATGCATGGCTATAGACATGTCCTCATACATTTCCTCCACCACCACTCCATCAGGGTTCGCAAAGGTTGGTGCGTGAACCTGTGTGACCTTCAGCGAATACTGTATGGTGATTCTGAGTATAATGTACGTAATCCTCGTTGACAGACACTCAATTTTTACAAGGTTGTTAAGGAGAGACTTGTGGACGATAAATCCGACACCTCCTTGGGACAGATGGTCGTCCTCCCGGTGATAGATAAGTTGCCAGATTCGAGGATTAACATCTCCTCTCTTCGGACCTCAGCTAATCCTATAATATTCCAGCGCAACTTGTCTTAGTTATATACACTTAACTATAATTAACACAACAACACTTAAAATACACTATAACTTGTTGTAGTTATATAGTTATATTCAGCTTACTGATGCGTCGGGCTGTGTCCGTTACTCTAGTTCTTCTGCGGATGTCCTCACTACGAAGTAAATTACACAGATAATGCCCAAACATAATCCTCTCCATAGCTCGCTGAGCGACCTTGAACTTCCTCTTACACCTAGCAGTGAAGGACCACGTCATCCCTGATTCATAGGTCATCACTAGCAACACGCACTGTTTGTACACTCTCGTTTTCAAGTTTTATGGTACACGTGATATGAAAATACACGTGTCGTGATCTTTCGAATACACATAATATAAATTAGGATATTTTTTTACAAATATATCAATTAACTGAAACACCGATTGGCATACTTGTCTAATTACTTATTGTAATGCTAAGTAGAAACCCAAAAATACACAGATAGGCGTTATTTTGCGGAAGTCCATTAAGAACGAAGTTTTCGGCGATTAAGGTACTCTTCTTCGATTGAAATCACAATTAATGGGGATAGATTTGACACAGAAAGTACTATATATTCTAATACGGGTAGATTGCGACGAGTATGCTGCTATATTTTTGTATATTTACAAAAAAATACATTCATTCAATCAAATACAGCCACATCTCCTGTTTTAGTTTCCTTCTATCCTCTATCGAACCCATGAGATGATATAATGTAGTGGATTATTTTAGGCCGCTACAACAAAATATAGTAGATAGAATTATTTATTAGATTAGTGAAGCCTAATAATGTATTTCAGATACCTTTCTTAGAATTAATTTGATAACTACCTGATAATTCTTTAGCGAATTAATGTAAATTAATTTTAATGGATTTAGAAATAAAATGTTGATATCGTCTGATTACAACTGTATTCAGGTATTTAATTTATACTTTAAATTGAATTTTGACACAGTACAACAAAAAATGCAATTAAGTGTAGGTAGAAACAAAACAAATTACATTATAATAGATACAATAAATGGAATTTTCTAGAAATATTGTGGTTTCTACAAGCAATAGATGGCGTTGCAATTTACAACACTACCTTTATTTCATTTTGTGTAGGTAGAGCGTATTTCTAGGTACATCTCGTGTTTTTCACTTTATATTAGCTAGATCTGCATTTATGTATGTATGAACATAATAGGATTTTGTAATATAGGTTTTACCCACTTTCAGACATCCGAATAATCTAAAATATTGCAGACGTAGGTAGTAAGAATATATGACCATATAATAATTTTATGAGTAAGACCTAGTGTTTCCACTAGGCGTATCACAGTTCGTGGTCAAGGCGTGTTAAGTTTTCTTAAACTAATATTATGAAATGATAACATATAAATAAAACAAATTCCGGTTCACGATATCTGATAAATTGTAAAAATCTTTATATTAAAAAAACTATTGGTCTCTTGAGATTCCACATTACCAGGTTTAGTACCTATATATCGGGCACGGAAAATTAAATTACAGTCCAAATGAATTAAATTGTTAGATTAACGTCCATCTGTTTTTTTTTCTCATAATACTCCTGTCTCACATCTATATATACCTAATCGTACATCGTTAGGCCAGTGCTACGTATAGCAGGATAATATTGGGTGTTATACTATTTATGTATTCATAATATTTTTTATAACAATATACTAACAAACTTGTTTTATTGGGTAAAATAAAACTTCAAACATAATAGATCAATTACGCAAAATGAATAATAATCAAATGTTTGTGTCAAGATAAACAGACAGGTTTTCAAACTAGCGTCTTACCACTGCCGACCGTACGTGTACGTACGGAACGTACTCGTAGTCAGAGTGCATATAAATACAACATACAGCCAGCAGTGGACTGGCAATAAGATGGCAAAAATTCTTAGGACCGTGCCCTCGGCGAAGAATTGGAGCATTATCACGATATCTCGTGATATTAAAATTAAATTAAAGGATATAATAAATATATTATGAATTATATTGACTACAATCATTTAACTATATTTGTTTAATTTGTGGATATTTAGACACAATAAGCGAGCACGCAAAAGATACGCTAAATAATAATAAATAACAGGTTAGATACTTTGCTTTTTTTAAATGAACTATTTTAAATTTACGTACTTACTTATCTTATCATATTAATAAACAAAAGGTAATATATATACCGCTAGCAGTTTATAAGCAATTTTCTTACTAGGGTATTTTAACTCGTATTAATATTATCGTGAACTAAATTATATGTCATTTTGCAGGTCGGTCGTATAATTATGAAGAGTGCGGCAGTAACAAATTTAAAACGAGTGACTCTTGAGCTTGGTGGAAAGAGTCCCTTAGTCATCTTCAATGACGCAGATGGTTTGTTTTCATATTATGCTATATTTGACATGCCTAGTGTTGACGCTCCAACAGTACCCCTCATACTACCATGACAGTTGCGACCCTTCACGTATGTTGAATCTATCATGTATAATTTAAAATTAATAATTTTGTTCAGCCGACTTCAATATAAGTTATTAAGAATAACTCAAAAACTATTGGTGTGACCTTGATCAAATTCATATGAGACCACACGAGAAGTACCAGCTTTCAAACAAAAAATAATCATCGAAATCGGTTCGCCCAGTGAAAAGTTATGAGGTAACACATAAAAAAAATACAGTCGAATTGAGTGCCGTCTCCTTTTTGGAAGTCGGCAGAAAAGCCAAATTATTGTATAACTAGCTGATACCCGCGACTTCGTCCGCGTTGCTTGATATATCAAAAAAGTTTTCGCTTATAAAGAATCGTTCTTTTTTTAAAACTTTAATAACTTGATATTAGCTATATTTTTAATATTTTTTTTGATGTGGGCCAAGTGTCTAAGAAATAAAACTTAGAAAACTTAATTGAAATCTATCCTGTAGTTTTTCCGTAATGCGCGTACAAGTGCAAACCTCTATCATTTTATTTATATATTGTATAATTAGACTTACTCTCTTGTCGTACAGACAGACTCGACTCACATCCGTATTTAGTATTTTTTTGTAAAAAAAAAAGTATAAAAAAATAATACTTAACATAATAATGGAAATGTGACAAACTCTTTCCCGGTTACAACTACTTTCAACTGACGAAAATAGTCTATTTTTAGCCAACTACAAAAAAGAGGAGGTTAATAATTCAACTGCATGTTTTTCTTTTGTTCGTATGTATGTTACGCGATATTAGTTGAAGGTGAACCGAATTTTTTTAATTAAGTGTTATACTTCAGAGCTGGGCCCATATAAAAAATTGGGAATAAATATACATATATCATATAAATGTTTTTAGTTGTTTGAAATCAGCTTTAACTGTTTTTTTGAAGTATTTTTTATCCTTTTGTGTAGGCTAAGGAATATCACAATTTCAATGTCATCTAAATAGTTCCGTCAAAACTTCAGCCCTTATTTTTTCACCAATAACATAAGAACTATTGGTCACACCTTGATCAAATTTATATGGGATCACATGAGAAGCACAAGCTTTTAAATTAAAAAAAAAAGAATCATCGTACATCGTACACATAAAGAAAAACATACAGTCGAATTAAGTACCGTCTCCTTTTTTAAATCGGTAGAAAATAGGCCTTTTCAAAAATATTATATCTACGTTCAATCTGAAGTTTTAATTTTAATTTTAGAATAATGCCTGTATATACACATAATGTAACATAAAAATTTAACGAAACTACTACAATCCGATTACTTTTATGATTCCGACCCTACCCAAAAGTAATTATTTTTTATTGTGTTTACCTGTGCAATATAATAACAACAAATATAATGATATGTTTAAAGATTACACATCCGCTGTAAACAGGTTTAATGGAGAAATATACAAAAAATAATCTGGTTTTTTTTTCTAAATCAGTGGAAAAAGCAGCCGAGATCGCCCACCGTGCTGCCTTTGCCAACGCCGGACAATGTTGCGTGGCGGGAACGAGGACTTACGTCCAATCTGGAATATATGAAAAATTTGTTGCGAAAGCAGCGGAAATAGCAAAGAAGAGATCTGTCGGTAATCCCTACGAAAATGTTCAACAGGGCCCGCAGGTTTGTGTTCATATTTTTTTGTATACCAAAAATATACACTATGAAACATTCAAACATTATTATGTAGTTGCAGTAGTGCTTATTTTAATGTGCAATGAGCCAAACTTGCTTACATCATGCTTTAAATTAATATTGTCTACTGTAAATTGCGAAGAACAGACGAAAATCTATACTAATTTAATACAGCGGAAGAGTCTTGTTTGTTTAAATACGCTGATCTCTGGGACTACCAGTCCGATTCGAAAGATTCTTTTTGTATATGATAGACGAATTATATCTAGTATTAGGCTATACTTTTCAGCTAATCTTATATTATATTGATTTTTGTTAAGCAAGTCAGCGCAGCAACTGCTTTATCCGCGTCCGCTAGCGTAATACACATATTGATCTGTACTGCCTCTAAATCTGCGGTACCATAAGCCTATTTCTTTTACATAAGCCACAATAACGTATTTAGTAAAAAAAATATTGAAAATTAAAAAGTGATTTATGAGCGTTATCGGGCATGGCATATTAATCCTTACGAACGGAAGTTACTTCGGAAGTTACTTCGTCATCAAGACAATTTTATAAAGATAAATTTTTCTCTTTATAGCATGTTATTTGAACGCATAGTTTAAGACAGTGTTTCCATGGCCCGGTAATTTTCACACTGTACCTTCGTGACCCACTAAATACTTTTAAACCTAAGCTAGTTCCATTAAGTAAAATAATATACATTTATTAATAGTAAAAATGTTTTAAAATGAATGTTAACGATGCGTCGATCGATAGTAGGATTATTTTTAAAACAAGGCGGGAATGTTGCGACCCGGTATTTTATTTTGATGGCCCGGTACCGAGTCGCGACCCGGCATATGGGACACGAAGGTTTAAGAGATAATGAAAGATTAAAATAATTCAACACTCGGTTCGGTGCGCGCACGACGCATAATACCCTAGCCGCCCGATGAGAAGCGAGAGAAACCAGCTGGTAGTTCCAGAAATTAACGTGTTTAAAACAAACAAAAAACCTTTCCGCTTTATTATATTAGTAAAGACGGCGCGATAGGATCTATTAACGTGACGTTAGTAGATCTTACCTAGTATATAACCTTGATTTAAGATAATCATCAAAAACGACTTATTTTATAATTGTTTGATTTCTTACAAAGATCTCCGTTTTTGGTATAAAATATAACCTAGACCACTCCCAGCATTGCTCTTTAACTGTCACACATGTACAAATTCGTATAGTCGTACCAAATATTTTACCAAACTGATATTAATTTTTTTGATTAAGGTGGACTCTGACATGTTCAATAAAGTAATGGGATACATTGAAGCCGGCAAGAAAGATGGTGCCCGTTGTGTTGCTGGTGGCAATCGTCATGGGACTGTAGGATATTTCATACAACCCACTGTCTTTGCTGATGTTAAGGATGACATGAAAATTGCAAGAGAAGAGGTAATCATTTCATGCGATAAATCAAGCATCATACGTAATAATATATCACAAGATACAGTAAACGCTTCTAAATTGTACGTTGTTTTTTGTGAAGTAAGCCCATAAAAACAGATGACTCAGTACTGTTTTTATGCCAATGTACGAGGCCTATACTCTACAGCGAACCTGTTATAGACTGTAATGATTATGATGATATCATAGGCATGTATCAAGTTTAAATAGGACCAATTTAACTTTAATTTTGGTGGCAGTGTTTTAACCTATACTCTTTCAAGTTCACACCTGAACGTACATAGGTCTCTTCAAGAATGTTCAAGCGCGCAATCATTTCCTGAATGCATTTGCTTCCAATGAAGCTGTATCGTGAAAGCCTATTGGAAAACAGCACAAACATCACTGTAGCAGCACAAACCCACACATTTTGCATACCGGTTGGTGATCTCCCTAAACATGTGTATTAAACAAATTTATTTGACTGATCGACAGATTTTTGGCCCAGTTCAGAGTATCCTGAAATTTGAGACGTTCGAGGAGATTGTTGACCGTGCTAATGACTCCAATTATGGTCTCGGAGCTGGTGTGGTAACAAACGACATCACAACTGCCATGTCTTTCGCTAAACTCGTACGCGCTGGCTCTGTCTGGTACGTCTTCGTTTTTTTTTCTTTTTGCTTACATTTCGACTATGAAGAATAATTTTATACTTTTTTATTGTGATTCTTTTGTATTATATTGATAACTAGCGATGCGCCAAGGCTTCGCATGGGTATGATCTATTAATGTGGCGATATTTAGATTTTGAATAATCAAAGACAAACTTTTAAAAAGTCCCATGTTTTTTGAATAGAATATAGCCTGGATCATTTCTGGCTTAGCTCTCTGTCTGTTCGTGAAGTTTCATTACAATCGGTACAGCCATAATAGATAATTTATAAATTTAATATGAGATGGACAGACAATGGTTATTCATGATTTATTGGCATACAATTAAACACCGTAGCTTAATATGGCAGTTATTTCGATTTTACAGACAGACACTTCGATTTTATTTATATGTATAGATATATCCATGTATATATATATATATATATATATATATATATATATATATATATATATACATCTGTCTGTGTGTCTCTCTGTCTATCTATCCGGGCTAATCTTCAAAATGGCTGAACCGATTATTAACCCTTTCGCTGTCCCGTGCACTTACAGGTCATTGCTATTGTCTTACTATTACGTTTAAAAACCGGACAGTGAAAGTGTTAACTTAACCTCGATATGAACAAAAAATAATTATTTGTGTTCAATTTTTAGGATAAACACATACGAACATATAACACCACAAACTCCTTTCGGCGGGTTCAAGGAGTCGGGCATTGGTCGCGAGATGTAAGTATAAATTATGACATTTCTAAAATGTACTGCTTAGAGACGCAACAGCTCATACAGGTTAAACACCATTATTACTACTACTATCATCATAAGTTCACTGCTGATAGTAGGCCTCCCCATGGATTACCACAAAGTACAGCTCTGAACTACCTGCATCCATCGACTGCCTCCGTGTTTTATCAGATCATACTGCAAACCTCATTTATCGAAAATTTGATTACATTTGCGGTAATGTGGCTTGGTCATGTGATATATTATATGTTACGGCGCAATATATAGATGAGGTGTAACCGCACTTTAACTATATATGCTATATATACACACGCTGAAGCACAGCCGATGTTGAAGTGAGGATGTTTAAAATCATTCAGCGAGATATAAAAAAACGTCGCTCGTAGTTTCTTCTTCGTAGTTGCTTCTTCAAAATTTAAAATTCATTGTAAATTTAAAAAAAAACAACACCACGTCCAACGTAAATTGTGCGGACGTAGGTAACGTCTTCAATCAACAATTGTTGATCGACGGTCCCTACTTAAGGGTCCTTCTGTCTTAAGTTATTACGTAATTAGCTAACCTAACAACATCTTATAGTAACCACATCAATACTAAAAACCTTTTATATTTTAAATAAATAGATTGACTTGGCCATCGCATGAAAACACAATGTAAAAACACACTTCTTTCAAGTAATACATATTATATTAAATTAAGTAGATTGTTTAGTACGATTGCCAAGTCAATTTATTTATTTAAAACATAAAAGACTTTTAATATTAATATGGTCACTATAAGATGTTGTTAGGTTAGCTCATTACGTAATAACTTAAGACAGAAGGACCCTTAAGTAGGGACTGAATAAATTAACCGACTTGGTATTACATGGATCTCACAACTTTTTACGGTAGATGAACTGAGTTGCGAGACTTGTTTTTTTTAACAAGTTATGTTTTTGATGGCATCTCATTTCTTTTTGTAGATTGTTATATCTAGGTACCTATCTACGCCTATTATTCCATTACTACTTTGTAATCCTATATATTTATATGGAATTACAAAGTTATTTATGCAGTTGCTCTATCTCGAAAATTGGACCAAATTTGCAAAATATTTTAGTTTTTTCTTGATTTATATACCAAACAATAATTGTATTCCAAATTTGAAGCTTCTATGTCTGCTAGAAGTGCCTTAGAGTTTTGATGATCGGTCAGTGAGTGAGTGACAAAATTAAGAAACTTTGCCTAGTTATAATTCTTTAAACTACTGGTTCAAATTTAATGAAATTTGAAATATACCGAGTTTATATAATGCCTACTTGGTTACTGAATTCAGGCTTCTAGTTTTATCCACAACGAAGTTATAGGGTTTTGAAAATGGCCTGAACTGCTTCGAGAAAAGGATGGTACAGCCGTGCCGCTTTTTTGCTCGACTTGGCGGAGACACTGCCGTGCCCTCAGATATCTTAAAAAGCAAATTGCTTTAAATTCGTGGCACAGACTATTAGCGTGGAACAGAAGTATAATGCAGCTGTGTTTCGATAACCAAGGGTGGCAGGGTAATTTTTAAGGGCGACAATATATCTACATTTCTTAATCGAGGATAAATTTATGTGTCTATGGGCCATAGCATTTACTTATAATCACGTGGACTGTGTTCGTTTGTCACCCTTACGTCTGTAAAATACTGTAAAAGAATAGAATAGAAGAACACTGTTTCGTGGGTTTTTAGTGGAGTTCCGAAATTACATGATTAGTACGAATTGAGGATAAGCCAAAATGTTTTCATGCGTGGTAGAGTCACGCTGCAGCTATATTGTAGTTGTGGCACGAATCGGTCGGCTTGCCCGGGTTAGGACCACGCTCTCACAGAATACCAGCGTAATATAGCAGCTTAATGCTGCTGTGTTTCGAATTATGAGTGTAGAGAACCGGATACCCTTTTACTGGAAATGAGGCGTGCCATCTCACTCCTCAGAGGTGACAACGCATCTGCATTTTGGATGATGGAGATAAATGTAGATGTCTATGGACCACGGCACCCGCTTACCATCAGGTGGTCTGTATATTCGTTTGTCATACTTATTCTATAAAAAATATGTAATACATTATCAAAAATAATTTACTATTTGGTTCGAGTTGGGAGCAGTGGAGCGAATAATAGTTCTGGTTACCCCTCAAGGTGAGAGAATTAGAACAGGCTGTGAGATTTGAAGTTCCGTAAATAGGTTCATAATTCATATGCGTATGACATATGCATAAGTGTATGGCACTCGCCATCAGGTGGGAACTTTTTTCACTCCAATAATATAAACAGTTTGCTACTTCAGTCATGTGGTGTTAAAATGAATTTTACAACAAATATTTGTTACTTGAACAAATAAGTGGTAATTGTTAAAAATGTTAATAAAGACAAAACTTTAGTACATTTTTAAATTTATATCTAATCATTTTACAGGGGTGAAGACGGCATCTTGCAATACTTGGAAACCAAGACTGTGACCATGAACCTACCCAAGAAACCAATCCTTTAAATCTTTACATTGTAAATTCAGTTGTTTCACTTAAAATTAACTATTTAATGCATTTAAACGTTGTTATTTAAAAGTGATAAATAAAATTACATATTTATTTTTTGTTTTCTTCTATGGGACTTACTAAAAATGTGCCTGCAGGTAGACATTACTTAGAAGATTTCCTTACCCTCATGGTGTGCTGGGTAATAAATTTAGTGACAGCAGAGCCAGATAACCTTGCAACCTAGTAGAACTATTCGTGCTGCAACCATAATAATATGGCATAATAATATGGAATGGTTCGACTCTACTGGGGAAAGATCACGCTCTCGTTAATGCTGTTGTTTCACATGTTGAATGTGGAGAACCGGAGGCCGACAACACATCTATGTCCAAGTAACAAAAGAAGCGACTAATTTATCACATTGTACTTTTAAAATATATGTAAACTCTTCAAAAATTCACTTGATATTCTTAAGCTGCATATTGGCATTTCAAAATCACCGACACAATAAATAATAGTATTCACCGAATACTTAATTTGCTATTCGGCCGAATAGGCGGAATACAGGCTACACATTATCCCCTCGGTAGTGCTAAACGAGCAGTACTACATACTGGTGGTAGGTTGGTCCTCTACTAGTAAGAGGCCCGGCCGAGGGTTATTTACCACCCGCCTGGCAAAGACATACCGCCAAATGATGCAAATCGTGTTCCGGTATGATGTTAGGTGAAACCCATTTCTTAAGGGGAATGGGTCTGGACAGTGGTTGCGTTACGCATACGAACCGGTTGCGACGCGGCTGTTTCTTAGTGTCAGGTGACTGGTTATGGAGGTTAGCGGGTTTTCGGCCATAGATAGTTGGGGGCCCAATTAATGAGCCAGCCACTCATGTAAGGCTGCCCCGCCATCTTACGAAAAATCCTGGGATAGCTTCACCATTCCGATTGGCCACCGAAGGAGAGGACCAGTTGGCGATTTCCAGAGGGATTCGGGCGTCCCCGCGATCTTCATGATAGGTACCATCGATGCTGTGACTCTGTTTGCGTCCCTAGGTTTTATGTGTGACGCCTCGTCCAACTGTCATTCTCGCAACTTATTCACTCACACATTGACAGTAAACTATATTCCGCAGCATATAGCAAGATATAGAAAAAAGTGAAAGAGGAGCTTCTCTACATAGTATAAATCAAAGTCGCTTGCCACCGTCGGTACCATGAAGATAATACAAAGGGGAGACGGCATAAGCAACTGTGCACAGTGATTCTAAGTAGGTCCTGACGTTATCATAGTGGGCGTGGCTTTAGTTAGTTTACTGTCAGCATTCGTCCTGTGGGCTTATGTGTTGAAAAAGTCGCAAACCGGTGTATTTTCGTAGTATTAAGAAGAAAAGAATGAAGTGTTGTATTTTATTGTGTAAAAAACTATTCAGATAGACGCTCTGATGTTATGGATGATATCACATTTTATTTGTAAATAATTTTATACCTAATTTATTAAAATAGTTCTAGAAAAATCTCTTTGCGTCGGCTTTCAAATATAATTAAATATATTCGACACTAGATAGCGACACTTTGTGTTATGTGAACTAAATATATAAAGGTCCATAGAGCTCAGTATTGGTAAAATAATCATACGAAGGTGCTGAAATTTGTTTTACATTCAGACATAAAGAAATTTTAATCGCAAAATATTATTTTTATAGTTTATAATCATTTTGAGAACAGGCCGCATTCTCGTCAAGTAAACCTCATAAAAATTACAAAAAAACAGGGCCCTAATTAGAATTCAATTATTTTTCCCAGTTATCCAACTTTTAATATTAAAATGCAGGAAATTGTACTTAGGCTAATTTTTACGAAATGTTTAAGATATATTTAAGTGACATTCTATATGCAAAGAATCACTTAAATACAATTTAATGTTCTTAGATTGGCATTCAAAAAGTGCATTCGGATGCCTAATTTGGAATAAAATATTTATATTTTAATTGATTTGTAAATAAAATTATATTAATTATAATAATTTGTCTATTATTTGTTCTCCCTCAGTGATATTAAGTAGTAAAACCCACACATAAATAATAGTCCAGCCGTTTCTGCGTGAAAAAATTAGACATACTTAGTGTGGAATAAGCTCAAGGAGACAGAAAGAACACACAGAATTTTGCTTTTATAATATTAGTGAGATAAGTAGGATATTTAGTTCCAAAATAAATATCCTACTTAATATTGAACATAGAATATTTAGTTTCAAAGAGACTTTACTTTATTGATAAAATAAATATTTCTTGAAGGTTGACTTTCACGAAATGATAAACATATTTAAATTGTATTTAAGTGATTCTTTTCATATAGAATGTCACTTAAATATAACTTAAACATTTCGTAAAAATCAGCCAAGTACAATTTCCTTCATTTTAATATTGAATGTTGGGTTACTGGGTAAAATAATTGAATTCTAATTGCGGCCCTGTCTTTTTGTAATTTTTTTGAGATTTTCTTGACGATAGATGGCGGCCTGTTCCTAAAATTATTATGAAAACTATAAAAATATTATTTTGGCGATTAAAATTTCTTTGTCTGAATGTATTTGCTTCATGAGATAGACGCTCCGATGCTATTGATGGCATCACATTTCATTTGTAAGTAATTTTACACCTAATTTATTAAAATAGTTCTAGAAAAATCTCTTTGCGTCGGCTTTTAAATATAATTAAATATATTCCACACTAGATGGCGACACTTTGTGTCCTGTGAACTAAAAATATAATGGTACGTAGAGCTCATTAATGATAAAATAATCATACGAAGGTGCAGAAATTTGTTTTGCATTCAGACATAAAGAAATTTTAGTCGCCAAAATATTATTTTTATAGTTTATAACATTTTGTGGACATGTCGCCATTAACCGTCAAGGTAGCTAAGCTACATTGCAACATCGATATGGAAAGATCCGAGTAGTTTTACTATTTATCGGTAGATGTAGATAGTGAAAAGTGGGCGGGGCTTTGCATCCCCTCACCCCGCAAATTGTCACGCGTTGTTACATAGTGAAATTTAATTACAACGTCTCCTCTTTGTATTTGCTTCATGGTCGGTACGCTTAGATGTTTATACTACACAACGGATTTTTATGGAGTATTCATCAATAGACAGAATTATCCCAGAGTAAGATTTATATATATAATACATGTATATTATGTATTATATAATTCTTCTGTCTGTGTGTATGTTACTGAACTTCTCCAAAATGGCTGGACCAATTTTGATAAAATGTTTTGTGTGTAATCAAGTTGATCAGTGGTCCGGCTAATCTCCGAAATGGCTGGACCGATTTTGACGGGACTTTAATTGACCCATAGCTGATGTTTTAAGGAGAAATTAGGGTACTTAGGGTTTTATTTTAGAAAAAAATTTGGGTTCCGCGCAAAAAAAAAATTTAGACCCATGAAATCTAATCGTTATTACGTGGAATCAGTCATGAAATCCAAACGTTATTACGATTGGATTTCATGATTGTCTAAAAACAACTTGTCGAAAATAAAAGTATTTATATGCTACACACCCAATATAAATTACAGTAACTGTCACTGGTCACTGTTATCAAGCCATGTCATATCGAGATGCTATGAGGATTAAATTTACTTAATTTAAGAGCTCTTTTCTAAAGAATCTAGTTATATTTATGTTTTAGTTGTTAACACTAAAAAACCATCAATCAGCTCTCCTAATTCTTAATTCTTTTCTAATGATAGTATAATGTTTTTGTCATTTGATAGAATTGTTCTGTATTTATGGATCCAGCTCAAATAGCTTAAACGATATACGAATGCTCGAAGTCGGCCATTAAACAGCTTTCTTATGCTACTTGGTTGGTCCACAGCATCAGATTTTCTTATAGGATAGGGTGACAAACGAGCATACAGTCCATCTGATGGTAAGTGGTTGCTGTGACCCTACATCTAGATTTATCCTCAATAAAGAATCAAATGCAGATGCGTCGTCACCCGTGAGGACTAAAATGGAATGCCTCTTTTCCAGTAAAATGGGTCTCCAGTTCTATACACTCACCATACGAAACACAGCAGTGTCAAGCTTCCATTTTACGCTGGTATTCTGTGAGAGCGTGATCCTTCTCCGGTCGACCTGACCCATTCGTGCTACAACTATACTACTAATATAACTGCATCATGGCTCTACCATGTATAGCCTACCATATATATACGTTTTTAGTGAAAACTAAGCGTTGAATAAAATTGGCTTGGAGACGAGATAAGAAAAAATTTACCAAGATATGCAAGGCCAAAAATTCACTTATGTACTAAATCATTGATAAAATTAAAAAGTAGCGATAAAATAATCGATAATGATCTGAGATCGAAAAGGCAAAATGGATAATGACGCAATGTATGTAAAAATTAAATTATCTCAAAAAAATTCGATGCAACGATTAAAAATGGGTGTGGGTGCGATTCGCTCTGGGTTCACTATCAATTTCTAATTTGATGAGTAATTGTAACTAAATTTATTTTATGTGTATGAAAACCTGCGCAATCGTTTTTAGTGAAAACTTAATCGTATTTATTATGGAACTAAGCGTTGAATAAAATTGGCTTGGAGACGAGATAAGACAAGATTTACCAAGATATGCAAGGCCAAAAATTCATTACTGTCGTAGGTATGAACGTACAAACACACACAAACAGATATTCTTTTAAAAACAGACTATGTAGGTATCTCGAAACGTGTAGAATTTATCATATTAATAGTCGGGGAAAAAGTTTCTTCGTATTTTGTTTTTATAAAATTGAAGGAAAATCTCTTTGGTTGTACTGTTTGTATCTGGCTAGTTTTAATATCAATACTTATAGGTCATTAAGAAAAAGAAAAATAAAAAGTAAAAAATAATTTCTCGCCATTTTTCAATTGTCTTTCTGTCCGCCAAAATGAGTAAATCTAAGGCTGGACTCACACATCCGGAATGCCTCTCTAAATTCATAATCTGAATTCATATT